GACTTTGAAGGCAGAATAAATGTTGTAGCTTTAAGGTCTTTAACAGTTACACAATGCAAATATTTTATTTGTTTAAAGAATTTTTCCTGATGTTGTTCTGAGTCAAAAAGCGGTCACAAGCCTCTTTGTAAGCCACAGCATGTCTTTTCTGTCTTTAATTAACAACAAACAGTGAATTCTTTATTATAAGACGCATTTATTTGTGTGTTTGGTTTGCTACTTAGACAGCGCTTAAAAAATACTGACATTATATACCAGATGCAGTGATTTTAAATTAATTGTTGGCAGCTATTTCAGCTCCACCTGAAAAAAAAATAGTAATCGTGATTTGAAACATTAAATACTAACTATATCCCACTATGTGTTTTACACTCGTTGTGGTACGGCCAGGCGTCTGAAGGATGATGCTCCAATATTATAGGGCTTATCTTGGTTTGATACATCACTATCCAAAACATATTGAATTAGTCATATTTCAAATAAGCAGCTTTTTGTAAATGTTTTGTAGCATATGGCGGTAACCAATTAGAATTACGCTGCTACTGTTGGTAGAGTGCGGAACAGAAGTACAGGGAACTGTTAGACGCTTTCAATCCAATCTGACTGGTCCCATTAGGCTCAAACCTGTGGGCAATCCCCACAGGAGCAATTTTGGTTTTTGGAAGTTTCTCACCGACATGGCTGACTGCCCAGTGTGGTTGAAACGCTGTTTGACCCCTGATCCCAAGCGACCCAATGCAGCCAAACCCACTGCACCAGCACGCACTACCCACTTATATTTGTTATTAAGAGGCAACAAGAAATAAATTACACCCTTAGCACGATTCAAATGACTGGTATAGTTTATATTTAATGATTACAGGGTGTAGACACTTTGTGAGGTCCCTGACACACCGGGGACACATATTTATGTATAAAAGACATCAACAAGTGGATTTTGCACGATAGGTGACCTTTAAGGTCAGAGCTGCTCCTCCGTCCAGGAAATTAAGCGCAGCCTTCACCACTGACCCCGAGGAAAAGGACTCCGGAAAGCTCCACACACACACTGCTCTCTACAAAGAGCACAAGTCCATGCTGAATTCCAACATTTTAAACACTTGAATATTCAGTTTATTGAATAGAAACTTGATTCAGAATTATTCAAAGCAATTCAGAATGACATGACAGCAGTGCTTAGGAGATCCGTTCGGTCTGTGTTGAGATTTGCCGGATCACAGTCCCTCCCCATCCACTCTGCCCCACTTCTCGAGAAGTCCCCATCTGGTTTGACAGTCTGTGTTGATGGAAATCAGTTGTGTGTCATCGTCGATCCCTCCCCCTCCCACTCCTCCTCTCTCATCTCCACTCTGTGCTCTTGCAGTTTTTACTTGAAGTTTCCCTGCGATCATGCCTCAGACGCTTGACATGAAACCTGATCACAGCGTCTCCTCGCAGCGCCCCGGGGAATACGGCCTGCACAACAGCGTCTCTTAGAATTCACCTAAAAAATAGCATTATTAGGGTGGAGAAATGTAAGTGTCGGGTCTTCTGTAAAAGGAAGCTTTTTCACCATCTGTTCATCTTAAAAATATAGATACTTTACCCAAGCTTTTGCATCTGTCGATTGCTCTTGGCTGGACTATATTTTGAGTGGACTTCAATGTTCTCATTGTGCATTTTGGAGTTTCTCATTCCTGTAGTGTGTGTATATATAGTTGCTAGTGCATGTGAATGGTAAGCTAACCAATCAGAGCAGACTGGGCTCTGGTTTCAGACAGAGGGTGAAAAGAGGTGCTGCAGCACAGGCAGTATGAGAAAAATAACGACCTTTTGAACTTTAAAGCATGGACACATGTCCAAGCAGAGGCACAAAATACAAATATGAACCGGGAAATTAGCATAATTGGGCCCCTTTAAATATGGTTTCCACACAATGAAACATACCTCCATTGTATATAATACAGTTGTGCAAAATCCATTTTGCATCTGCCAAGAAGGCCTCTGTGCAGCCATACATTTTCTTTTTAATATTCTGCGGTGCAAAAAGGAAAGATGGGGCCCGACTGACAACACTTTCAAACATTGCTAAATTCATATTATCGAAGATACATTTGTAACAGCTTGTGGGTTTACCTTCTCAAGTGTGCAAAGGTCCATAGGGTGAAAAATGTACTCGGCGTAATCTGGATGTTGTTCAAGAGAGACAGGTTTCTGGAAGGGTTCAGTCTATAGAAGTGAATAAACAGAGAAGAGAATGAAGGAAACTCTTACTGCACAACCTTCCCCTCTACCACACATGCAACTACTAAAAGAAAATCTACAAGCTGCTTCAAACAAAAGGAGGAAAACCAGTGGAGGAAAAAATCATGACGGGTTCTTGTTAGTGGTGTAATTGATTACCCAATTAAAAGTCTTTCTCTGCGTGGAAGCTGCATGGGGGGTGCGAGATGACAAGCGCGGATGATCCTGAAAGAGAGTGAGAGGGGGCAGCTGTATCCTCAGCACCAGCTAGCATGTTCATGGTTTCCAGCCATGACAGGCTCATTATAGTACAATCACTGTGATTGTTAGTTCTGTTATTAGAAATATTGCACATGCAAAGTAATAATATATAATCATGCAAGATTGATATGTGGACAGGTAGCACGTCAGGCTGCAGATCTTTACATCTAGCATGACTAAGGGGAATATGATGGGTATATAAGCAATCTAAAAATACAATTTTGTCCAGAAAACAACACATGCCAATATCTAAGGGCCTGTGTCCACATAGCGCCTTTTCCTGAGCGCGAGAGTCCTTTTTCAATTGTTCTCAAAGGAGAGAACAGATGGCATTCAGTTGCCTTGAGGAAAAGTGCTGCACCCAGCGTTTGTTTTTCTTAGCTTACCGCCATTTTTGTGATGCCACTGCTTGTAGTTAATTAATCTTTTCAGAAAAGTGCTAGTGCAGAAATTGGAGGAGAAGCTTTAATGGCCAGAAAGAAGAATCTTAACAAACCAGCCAGTGGGTTTTGCTGCCGGCTGTGTGATTTTTGTATCGCCTTAAAGTCTTCATCCTCCTTGCTTTACAGCTATCAGACTGAGCAGTGACAAGTTAATTAAGACTAACAATATAAGGAAGCAAATTCCGGTCGTTGTTAAAATATGTAGTCGCCCAAATTGATAAGAAAAAGCAAGGAGGCAAAGCTAGTGAGTCTTACAAAAGCGGTGATACCTAGTTGAGATATCGCTGTCATAGAAACAAGCTTTTCCGATTAAACGCTGGAGGAGGCTCTGACCAGCTCCCTGCGAGCCCCTTTCTGCTTAAAAAAGCACTATGTGGACACAGGGCCTAAGAGATCAATCTGAATGTAGAATTAGAAAAAGGCAGAAATGAGAATATACAGTATACTCCATCTGTAATTAGACATTGCCACAACACAATGTAATCAGTTTGGTAGCATGAATTCACTATGAACAGAGGGAACAGAGTACTTACACCTGGCTGTTTCATCTTCTGAAGGGCAAACTTTAGTAGATATGACAGCTGCTCTATAGTGAGCATCATCATGGCTTTGCTCTGAGTCTCTATACACTCAGCGACTGTTATTTTCTGAAAGACATCGAGAGAAAAACAGGCGCTTTCATCACTTGAGTCCAAACATACTGCTATTTCAACAGGCTCTGACTTAAGGCTTTGAAACTTGTTTTTTACACTTGTACACAATGTAATGACGTACATTTTACTCAAGGATTGCACTTAAGTACAATTACTTAGGTACTTGTATTTTCATTTTACGCTACTTCATTATTCTACTCTACACTTTTCTCCAGCACATTTATCATTTAGCTTTAGTTACTTCATATAATTGGATTTATAGCTAATCAAAATATATATAACAACTTAAAAATAAACATTGACAGACAAGTATAGATGAAACTATATAGCGGAAGTATACAAAGACATTACAGTTCGCTCCACATTTACCTGCTGGGATAGACACATTCATGCATAGATAATCATAATTCAACAATTGAATATGAATAATTCTAAAATGGGCGATTATGCTTAACGAGTACCTTTACTTTAGGAACCGAAGTATATTTTGATGCCAATACCTTTGTACTTTTACTTAAGTATGATTTTGAATGCAAGACTGTCACTTTTAAGAGTACATTAACAGTTTAATATTGCTACTTTAAACCTAAATATAAAATCTGAGCATTCGTCCAACACGATACACACTCCTGGGCGAGTACCTCACACTCCGGACAGAACCAGTCCCCCTCTGGCTCTGCGGGCAGTTTGAGGCACTTGGCGTGGTACACCCTGGGGCAGAGCTCACAGCAGAGCACCTGGCCCTCGCGGTGGCACAGCCAGCAGTAGAAGTCATTCCTGCCGTCCTGCGGTACAACATCAACAGGGTCTGAGGTGAGTGCTGGCTGCTTCACATAGTAAAAGGGACCATGTCTTAGTTCTGACTGCAATGCGGGCAAAAGAAAGACAAAGTTGGGGAAGGTCAAAATCAGGTCAGAGGTTAGAGAAGCCAAGCACACGTGCACAGTATCAACAAAAAAAGAAACATATCCAACAGTTAATACTGCTGTTGTTGAGCCATGATAAGTACATGTGGCAAACGATAACTGCTAGTTGATAAGATGAGACATTTTAAAAGGGGCCCTATTATGCTTTTAGGGTTTTCCTTTCCTGTAGTGTGTTATATAGGTTTTGTGCATGTAAATGGTCTGCAAAGGCTAAAATCCCAAAGACAATTAGCATAATAGGGCCCCTTTATTAAAAGTCAACATAATGTTTTCCTTGTGATGGAAATGACCTTAAAGACAACAACTCTGGATATTTATCAAATGCTCCTTTCTGTTTAGGAGGGTAAACATTTTTGACGGCCTCCTTTAAACTGGCAAAGGCTCCGGTAGTTACAGTTCCCACTAATCATTTACAAAGTTAGGCTTAAAGGTGGGGTAGGTAATTTTGGAGAAACCAGCTGGAGTGCGCTAGAATTTGAAAATACACAGCCGTAAAAGATCTGCCACTTCCTCACAGAGCCCCTCCTCCAACACACAGGAACGCGCACATGACCAATGAGGGCACGAGATAAGTTTGTGCACAGATGGAAGGCTGACAGGCAGGTAGGCCATCCAGTTATTTTAGCCGGGCCGGCTCAGATGATTGGTCGTGCTTTTTACAGCGCCACGGCTTCCACAGAGGACATTTTTTTATGTATTTATTGTCAAAGCATTTAATGTATTCATTGCTATCGGGATGTTAAGAGCATTCCATGGAATATAACAAAAAGTGTTTCTGAAGTGAATTACCTACCCCACCTTTAATGTGCCAATTGGGAGATAGCAGCAATCATTGACCTACTGTGCATTTGTGAACGTTTTACAATCAAAGGAAAATAATAACGTCAACAAATGTGTTAAAATTAGAGTTGCATAGATTATTTATTAGACGTCAGAAAACGAATTAAAATACTATCACCATTAGTATTAAATTAGAACAACTACGTAAAGATATACAGCAACAATATGTATTCCTATGGAAGACAATTCCAAACATAAAACTCTAAAATACATTTTTAAATATCTCTCTAATAAGCTGTAGTTCCCTTTCTTGATAAGTTGTAATAATATCACAACATCTAGCCCTGGATTGAATCAGGAGTAAGATTTCAAACAGCTGGAATTAAACAGTGTGTATTAAAGAATTTCAGACACATGAGAAAAAACATCAAATGTACAACAACCACAAGCAACCGAGACATCTCAAGGCAGCTTAAATATCTGTGAAATGGAAAGAAATAGCTCTGCTGCCTCAGTGTCACTGATGCCAGTTTAGAAATGATCAGGGTTCATACACTTTTTCACCAATGACTTCTCCATGACCTTTACCTAATTTTCCATGACCAAAAAAATTACTCTTTCTCAGCGGTACCTCTGAAAATGGTTTATTTTAACATGGAACAGGAAAATAAGGTCTGCATATGAAACATGTTGGTCCTATCTAAAACAAATCAAATAGTAGGCTTACTAGCTTCTACATGCTAAAGCCACTAAAATCTCTCACCAGCAAAATACTTCGACAGTTAAATGACATTTTACGTTTCATTACTATACGATACAGTATTTATTATCATTATATTATTACTATTTTGNAAATATAAATTATATTTTATGCAACTTTAGTTACATTTCCATGACTTTTCCCAAACTTTGGGAAAAATATTGTTTTCCATAACTTTTCCAGGGCCTGGAATTAGCATTTTGAATTTCCATGACTTTTCCAGGTTTTTAATGACCGTAAGAACCCTGAATGATATTAACAGGACACAATATCACTGTATCAAGTTGCAGAAGAAGCTACATTTAGATGTTGCACAACTCACTTAAATTAAATCTATTTTATTTAAAAACGTCACTCCCATCCGCCCCAATGGAGCTGCTAAGTGTCTGAAGGTTCAGATTGTAGTCATAGTGGGGAGTTTCCAGGTGTTGATGAGTGTAACCGCACCTAATATGTGTTGATGTGGCGCAGGGCATTGCTAAAGAAGAGCATTCATGTCCCATCAGTGAAACTCTCCTAAACAGGCCTTTAAATATTGACCCAGTATGAATGACTGATCAAACAGGAGCAGTAACTGCACCCATGCTGCTGATCGTATCAGTGAGCCTGCATTTATGATCTACTGAGTTTGAGGGGATGAATGTGGCAGCCTTTATTTATTTTAAATGTAATTGGTAAATATGGCAGTTACATCAAAAACAATACAAACGCAAATTGTTTTACATTTATCTTTAACAGAATTTGTATCCTGTTGTTCACCATAAAGGATTTCGTTATCTGGCATCTCCAGACGAGAAAACACTTCTGCGTTAAGAAAAATACGATAAAAATGAATGAAACTAGCTGCTGACTGCGCATTAATGTCACTATTCATCACGACTCGACTACTGCAATAGCATCCTCTACGCCGGCATACCATCCAACCTCCTCAATAAACTCCAACATATCCAGAACTCTGCTGCCCGCCTCCTCACCCACACCCGCTCCCGAGACCACATCACTCCCGTCCTCCAGAACCTCCACTGGCTCCCCGTCCGTCAAAGAATCCACTTCAAAGTCCTCCTCATTTCTTACAAAGCCCTCAACAACCAGGCCCCCCCCTACCTCACAGACCTGCTGCACCACCACACCCCTTCCCGCTGCGTCCGCTCATCAGAAGCCAACCTCCTATCCATCCCCACCAGCACCAATCACCGGACCTGGGGGGACAGAGCCTTCTCCGTCGCTGCCCCCTCCCTCTGGAACTCACTCCCACAACCCATCAGACACTGCACCGACCTCACCACCTTCAAAAAACTCACAAAAACTCTCCTCTTCAATCTGGCTTTTCATGTGTGATTGTTTTTGTATTATTTGACTTTAACTTGAACTATATATTTATGTATTCTTCCTTTCTTCTCTTTTCCTTTTTCTTCACTATTATCTGTAAAGCGTCTTTGAGCACCTGTAAAAGTGCTAACAAATTAAATCTATTATTATTATTATTATTATTATTATATTACCTCAAAAAGGGCATAAAACACAAGGTCATACAGTGAGAAAAGACACATGACAAAGAGGAGTGAAATAAAATGTTTGTTGTTGAACATCTGAATAAACCTTTAATCCCAAAGTGTTGATGAGATGCTTTATACTTTGAGCTGTAGGACAACATGTAATACCCTCCACATGTTTTCTGGCCAGCTAGAAACGGCTACTTCTCTGATGCAACCTTTGCTTCATTCTGTTAGACGTGT